CTCCAGACGACGTATCTCCATCCACAAAACCGGGCGCGTACAGCCAGAATGCCTCATGCAAAGCGCTGAGTGCTTGGAAACAACCACGGCCATCAATATCGCGCGTGATATCCAATGCAACGTAAGTACTCACCACGAGCCTATCCCAGCTCGTAAACGCAAAATGCCAGCTGTCCGAAGTGTATCTGCTTGTTGCCCACAATCCTGCGCCCTTACATTGGGTAAAACTGCGGATCTCCTTGCTGGGCGCTCCATTTTGAATGTTGAATGTTGAGCTTTGGTTGCCGTTAGGTACTTAGTGGTCGCAACATTGTGAATAGAATGCAACATTGTGAATAGAATGCAACATTGTCGTTGTATGCTGCGACTAGGTCGTAGATGGAAGCAAGTGCCGAGGTAACAGCGTCACCGTCCAGCGACAACTTGAAGGACATTCAACATTGGAGCAAAATGTAGCCTTATTAAGCAGGTGTTAGATCCGAAAATATTGCTATATTGGGAAGTTTCTTCACCTTGTGTTCACATATCTTCCACATATCCTCTGTGCAGATATGGATTGCCTTTAGTAGAAATATCTTCTCAAAATACCTTCGACGTTTATCCACCCACGTAATTCTCAATAATTCCGATGGAAAAAATTTGAAAAAATTTGATAAAAGATTTTAAATATCTTTCAACTAATTCCGGTAGTTAAAAGGTAGCATTATTATTAATATCTACCTCATTTTTCCACGTTATACCCAATGGATATATAAGCCAGGGCCCGCAGTGAGAAAGGGTTCCGGAACGACGGAGGGGAACCGAAATAGAACAACGCGCCAAACGTCCGCTCAAAACAACAACGACGCCCAAGAACGACGACGTCCGACGAGGAAAACGGAAGGCAGCTCTCACAACAGCAGCAAGGGTGCGTACCACAGATGAATACGGAAACTTACAGAATGGTTTTCAGAGTACTAGATGCCAATGCGACGGAGGTCGCGAATGCAGCCGAGCAACCCGCACCAGGGTCAATAGCTGCTGAGATCTGAGCCATGGGGACAGCGCGCTCTCGACAAGGGAAAGTTAAACACAGAAGCAAATGCAGGCAGCAGGAGAACTGCCAACACTTGCCTATGGAAACAGTCTTCCGCCAGCTTCATTTTCGTAAGCTGATGGTCGATTTGTAAGCAGTGACCCCAGAAACCCCGAGCTTCTAAATCAATACAACCAAATTTTGGACCCTTACATGCGAAATACACCCTCTGGCAGGCGGCATTGTGAAGCAGGTTGTTTTGTTCGTTTATTACAAGTACTGTGTCATGGGGTATGCACAATACTAGATCTGTAAAAAGTGAATTTTCTATGATCGATCAAGTGAAGTTGGGCACGCGCTGACACTGTCCCGCAGGCTCACAGACTCGGAAATGCCTCTAGAAGAAGAGCGAGTGAAACTCAGGCTAGGAGAGAAGGTCATAGAGCTCGATGATCTCTTGTATCAAGGCGCACCTTGAGTGCATGGCTAACCTAACAAACGTTGTTGAAGCCAAAATTCGAGCCCCGCCCTGCCACCAACTCCCCAGCCTGGTATTAGTGATGAAGATGTAGGCACAATTTTGACTGCCCATGTGGAAAACTGTCCTGGATGGTCAAGATCTAAATCCCTCACCAATTTCTTCGATACTAGCGGCCATAGGTAAATGACAGATCACAGGTCCCTCGAGTCGAATTATAATTATTGATAGTCTTCCGCCAGCTTCATTTTCATAAGCTGTGATTCACGTTATCTACTCAAGATAAGTAATATGAAGGAAAATCGGCAGAAGAGACACACAATTCAACAACCCGCTCTCATGAAACAGCGGTAAAGTGAACTCAAAATGGACAGTGGAACACATATATCATGGTCCCCCGCTCATTCGTCATTCGACATCTGCTGGTATAACTCTCATCAAACTCTCATCCATACTGTCCAGCCTCACAAGTTACGAGTCACAACAACGAAATGATGGAATGAAACGAACATCAAAGTTTTTGCTAAACAAAAAACAGAGACCAAATCGGTGCTATTACAAAAGAGCGTAAAAGCCAACTCCAATTAAAACAGGTGGAGAGAGGGCATTACCCATGTTGAATCGCAAGCCGGATAAATCCCAACCTACCCACATATCGCCCAGCAGTACCAATAATCACCCACACATCCGAAGTAACAAGGACCAACCCACCTCCATTTCAGCGCCAAATCCGCTGTCCCCGAAAGCACGCCCGAACTCTACACAGAACCCCCAACAACAATCGTGGTTGTTGATGCTGATCCCACCTTGTGGATTTTCGAACACGACTGCTTGCCAGCGCTGACATAGAACTGTGGTGCGCAATAGCGGTAGAACATTGTTTATTGCCGAATTCGTTCCACTGTATAGTTCGATTTCCACAAACTAGTCCTGGCGATAAAATTAATGAAGATCCTTTCAGTAAACCAATAATCAAAAGTTACATGTTCGTAGTGAAGCCGTCTTTGGCGATGTAGTTCATAAAGGCGCTATATGCAGCATTGCCAGTGACACATGAGTATATCCCTGTAGAATGGCACCTGAAAGTTCAAGACGAGCATTAGGAGGTAGGGTTTGATTCCTGGGAAAGCAGCTGAGAACTCGGTGGCTACCATGGGGTTAGTGTAAGGTATCTATGGCACAGAACCCACCTTCAGCTGCGAATATTGCTAAGGCGTCCCGATTTGTAACAAGTAAGCTGTGAATATGTGTGGATAGCCGCCAAGCGGGGCACATACATTTGACTAATACCTGAATTGAAGCTTTCGTTACGCAGGATCATGCAGAGTGGGTGTTACATACCGTGAGGATAACACTCAAACACATACGAACGATCTGCCGGCAAATCTGCTTCTACGCGCATGAGCGGTATCGTCATTATGCCTTCTTCCCTCTCGTTATTCCACATACATACCTTTAGAAATCTAAACTAAAGTGTATAAGACAACCGTCACAAAGCATAGCACAAAAATGTACGAAACAGGTTAATAATTTGCAGAAAATTTGACCCAACGTTGAATGGCAACGTTGTGGCGTCGACCAGAGTCTGCATTGTACGAGTTCTTTGAAAGTAAAATTAGCAACGCAGATGGTGCATAGTGAAAGAGCTTACCATTTGCTCCGTATCTGCGGGAGCCTGCTGTCCAGACCGCGCAAGATATTACAACCCCTTCTTGTTGGATGGTTCGCCGAGGTGGTTCAGGATGCCTGTGAGGGCTAGGGCGACGCTGCCATTTGGCCTGCAAGGGTCCAAGTTTGGATGTATTGAACTGAGAGCTTAGGGTTTCTGGGGTCACTGCTTACAAATTGACCATCAGCTTACAAAAACAAAGCTGGCGGAAGACTGTTTCCATACTTGCCAATCTGTTCTCCTGGCTTGAATTTATGCAATCACTGATTTTGAATGATAGGCTTGGCAACGTCCCTAGATGTTGCATGTCAGCGGTTCTAGCCAGAGCCGAGTAGGGTCAAGACAATGCAAAAACTGTCTTTTCGCCCAGAGAGAACTGTTTTTTGCTTGCAAACGAACGACGAACCTCCGCGAAAAAACCCTTCCCGCGCTATGCGAAGTTGTCGCGAACCTCAAAAAAGACAGTCCTACGACGCTCGAACAACAGTCCTTCCCCAGTTCCATGCAGTGCGCGACCCTTCAAGCTTCATCAGCAACCTTGACCTCACCCTTCGCACGTGTGTTTCGTCTGTCAAGTCTCTCTTCCTTGCCCACCACCCTCTCTCTGTATACCATGCCCAGGCTCAAGTTCCCTCTTAAAGCTGATTTCCCTCTCTTCGAACGACTCTTGCCTCCTCATCCAGGCTGACGACCACCCTTCTGAGGAGCAATTCTACCACCAATCGAATTCGAATACATATCCGTTGCCAAACCAAACCTCCTCGTCCAGCGCAGACACACTCATCTTTATACCAATCCACCTCATTCCTCTCCCCTTTTTACTCCAGTCCAAGGGCGTGAACCCTTTCCTATCGCCTCTTTCTTCCCAGTGGAGACCAACAGCATTTCTCACTGACCGAGTCTCCCAGGCATTCATATCTCTTACTTGTCTGGATGCCCGATGTCATCGCCGCTGCTCAGCTATCATCGTGAACTTATCCTCATCAGACACGCGAATAATCCGCGATGTGTACCGGATTCATACAAACGCTTTTGATCTCTTTTTTAATCTTTTGTTTTCTCAGCGCTGTCTCTTACCCACTCTTCCCACTTGCAGGCTTCATGTTCACATCTATCAGCCCATGGCGGACACCTCGTGTCATAGTTTGGCTCTTCGTATTGGTGGCAAATATAGGCTTGGAAAAAAAATGGCTCTGGTTCTTTTGGTGCGTCTCAAGACGTCTTATTGCCGTCGACTTCCTTACATCGTTTTAGGTGAAGAATTGAGTCCGTCAAGGCCAAGCACCCTCAACTAGAGTATGAACCAAAGGTTTACAAGACTCCCACAGGCGGCGTGGGTGTCCCCTTCATCAGATGGTGAATGCGACTACAGCGCTAGGGTTCTTCACCTTCCGGACTATCTTTTTACTTGCCCACCAAGTTGTCTGTGTCTTTTTCCTTCTTTCTTCACTCTTTGCTGACCTTCTCTGATAGATTTCCCCCCAGGCCTCGTACTTACATGAGACCTCAGAGGGGGTGAGTGGGTCGAAGAGGGCGTCGCGTTTGGTGAACTTTGGCCCTGAGTGTAGGAATGCCGATCGGGCTGGCGTGTCTACCCTTTCAGAACATCGATGAATGCCATTTATTCCTGTACCACCAGTAGTTGAAATAGTTCACACAAGCTGTAGTCAAATATTGTCAGTATTGCAACCTCTGTGTCTGCCCTTCAACTCACATTACCATGCAGTGAAAGGTACTCCCCACTTCCAGCGAGCGCTTGTGCGTGGCACCTCTGATGGCACAACTGTTGCCATCACGTCCCCTTCCCTCAACACCACGTATGCACTTGTTAATGTACAAAGAACTCAGTCAGACACGGATGTGGTGACGACTGTATTGTCTTTAGCTACCTGTTAACATATGAAGAACTAAGTACAGGTAGCGTCAGTTATAGTATGTGAATATAAGTAATAAAAGAAACTCACCTCAGTCAGACACGGATGTGGTGACGACTGAGGTGAGGAAAAATAAGGTTCTGGTACTTATACGAAAAACGGGTGGCTTGAGGTAAAGACTAGCAAATGCCGGAAGTAAATGTAAGTGGTGGATAAAGAAATAGGAGATCGAGAAATGAGTAAACAGAGCATACACGTAAACAAAGAGGTCACGAGGGGTCTCCTTCAACACCCCCCCAGACGACGAGGGACCTCTAAAGATCCAGCTTGAGTGCTCTGACGAGCTTTTGGTGGGTGATGCGCAGGAGCGGCTTGGTGAAGATGTCGGCAAGGTTTTCTTCGGAGGGGATCTGGACAAGGTCGATCTCCCGTAGTGCAACATGTTCCCTAATATAATGGTGGCGTATGTCGATGTGTTTTGCTCATGCGTGTCCTTTTGTGTTGAGGGAGAGGGTGATGGAAGCGGCATTGTCACCATGGAGGATAGCAGGGAAGTTTCGTGTAAGTCCGACTTCAGACATAAACGAGTACATCCAAAGGGCTTGTTGTGCGGCGCGCGTGAGGGCCATGTATTCCGCTTCCATGGTGGAGAGTGCGACGGTGGGTTGGCGTTTCGAGCTCCAGGATACAGGCCCCCCGGCCACAGTGAATACATATCCTGAAGTCGATCTGCATGTGTCGATGTCCCCAGCATAGTCGGTGTCGACGAAGCCAATCGGGTCGAGACTGGCACCATGGTGGTAGGTGATTTTGTAGGTGAGGGTGCCCTTGAGGTAAGCGAGAAGGTGGAGCATGGCCTTCCAGTGTGGTGGTCCAGGTTTTGCCTGGAAGCGCGCAAGAATGCTGAGGGCGTAGGCGATGTCAGGGCGCGTCGCAACTTGGGCCCACATGCAGGCTCCAAGAGCCTCGCGGTAGGGCTTATCCTTCATGAAGTTGATATCTTCGTCCGTCCTGGGGGACTCGGATTCTGATAGGATGATGCTGGAGGGTAATGGGGTTGATTTGGGGTTGCAGTTCGACATCCCAAAGCGTTCTAGAACACGTCGAATGTAAGCCTCCTGAGAAAGAGATATTGCACCCGTGGCTTCATCCTTGTCAACCCGAATGCCCAAAATATATCCAAGGTCCCCTATGTCTTTTATCTCAAAACACGTCTCCATTTCTTTCTTTGCCTGTTCCGCCCCTTCTTTTGTGGTGCACGCGCCAAATATGTTGTCGGTGTAGGTGCTGGTGATGGTGCACTCATTTCCAATGAGGCGGGAGTGGACACATGGATCTGCGAGCAATTTGTAGTACCCCAACGACTCGTATGCGCCTGTCATTTCGTTCTGGAAATCATATCCTCCCTGCATCATGCCGTATAGGGTTTTGACGACCCGTAAGACCTTCTCTTCCTCCCCCCGGACAACGAAACCCAGTGGTTGGCGCATGTAGGTCGTGAACTTGTTGGGACTGTAGAGGAAAGCGGCGACAATGTCCACCTGCCAGATATGCAGGTCCAGTGCGGCAGTGATGGCTGTGACCATGCGAAAGGATTCCAGGCGTACAACAGAGGCATATGTCTGGTCGTAGTCGAGCCCTGGAATCTGTGTGTGACCTTTCGCGACAAGGCGCGCCTTGCGCTTGATGATTTCCCCAATTGCGTCATATTTATTAGCATAGACCCACATTGAATCAATGATGCGCGCATCTGGGGGTGCAACCACTAGCTCGAAGACACCTCTACTCCACAATATTCCCCATTCTGTCTCCATGGGCGGCATCCAGAGGTCAGGGCGAGTGATCGCCTCCCAGTAGTTCCGTGGAACGTGAGATTCAGGGATTGTGGTGTGGAACACGGTGGTCCCTGGTGTAGGCGCGCCTGTACCCAAGTTGGCGAGGCGCTCAGAGCCAAGGGGGCACCGGCAATAGAATGCCGGACCGGTACCCGGTTAGTTAGTCCGAGCTGCAGTCCAAAAAGAAAAAAAATGGAAGCTTCGACAACTTAGTTCCCAAATTGTCGTAGAGCGTCGTATTGACTTACTGTGACCCAGCCAGACCCCCAGCTAGTGTGAGGCGATGTCAACAGATACGACAACGTTGAACGACAGCACAAGTTTAATTAAACTGGAACATATATCTATGCCTGACACTGTGCAATCGGTTCCGCTTGATAGTGATGTGCAAGGGTTTGTCAACCCTCCAAGGGTCAGGGGTAAGGGTCAGGAGGGTAAGGGTCAGGGTAAGGATTTTGTGACCCTCAACAAACCCTTGACCCTTCTGAAGGGTCAGGGGTTTTTCAGGGGTTTTTTTAGGGGTTTCATTTCTCTAATATCAAGGTAAGTGCTCCAGATAAAATGATTTTAAATCACATTGAATCAGATAAAATATCATCCAAAGAGACCTCACTACCTTTGCAACACTTAGTATTGTTCAGATACACTGAATTCCTCATATTTCATCAATAATTTACTAAAAACCATGTGTACTGTCATAAATATACTTGAATGATGTGTATTTCACAGGCATCTTGCTATTTATTTACTATCTATAAAGCTTGAGCAGTCATTTGCTCCAAACCCTTGTTCAAACCCTGCTGGGGTTTCTTACCCTCCAACCCCTGAGATACCCTTACCCTTACCCTCCAAAACCCTTGACCCCAGCCAAGGGTCAAGGGTTTTGGAGGGTAAGGGTCAGGGTCAGCCTGAGTTGACCCCAGGGTTACCCCTGCTCATCACTACCGCTTGACATCAAAGAGAATCCGGAGGCTTTTGGAAGATCAAAACAAAAAAGAGTTCCACGACAGGCAGAAACCGATGCACTCAACGAGTGCCTTTGTTGGCTGGTCATAAAACCATCATCCGAAGATGGCAAGGTGCACTTTTATGTAAAAAGAAAGATTGTGAGGTTCAATGGGTAAGTGGTTTCTTGATACAACATTTAGCTTTGCTTACCTTGATATTTAGTACCATTTACAGTGTGTTTCTTTGGAGCAGGCACCTCGATCTTGGGTTTGCATGTCCTGTAATGAGTCTGTGCAATGACGAGGAGGGAAGCGCTTCCGAAGATGATGTCATATTACTATATTTAGATTGGTGCCTGATTACGTAGTTAGTTAGTCCCCTCAAAGTCCTGGAAAAAAAAAAATCGACCCCAGGTCTTTTTTTAAAATCCTAGTGCCCCCTTGCTCAGAGCGCCTGGGCGCTGTAGGCAGAACTGGGGTTGTCAAGTTTTCTTGTGGCACGTTAGGGACAGTGGGGGTGGTAGTGTCAGGGTGTAATGGAGGATCAGTGACGCATGGGCGTGGCGCCAAAGGTTTTGGAGGGACAATGATGCCAGCGGAAATGGGGTTGGCAGTAGCAGAGATGGCATCCTGAGGAGGTGTATTGTCATCGTCGAAAGCGATGTCGGCAATGGGTGTAAGTGAGCTGGGGATAGTGCGGTGGCCTTGTCCTTCCTCAAAAATTACATCACGACTTTTGATTGTCATGCCTGATGATCGATCCCACAACTTGTAGGTTCCGCGCCCATAATATCCGATCAATACATATTTGATTGATCGAGGCATGAGCTTCGATACGCCTATCTCCTCCGGGATCTTGGAGTACACGGTGCAACCGAAAGGGCGTAGGTGTGAGACGTCCTGGCGTTTTCCCGTCCATTTCTCAGTGGGTATCTGAGCGGGGTGTCTGCTGGAAGGGATGTAGTTGCCAGTGTATATGCAGAATGAGGCGGCGTCGGCCCAGAGTGATGGGGATAGACCGGAGTCAGCGAGAACACAATGTGTTCTTTCGATGATGGTTCTCATCCCACGCTCCGCCACTCCGTTCTGCCCATGGGCATAGGGCACACTGAACTCTACGATGATCCCATGCTTCGTCGTATAGTCTCTCCACTTGTCATTGAAGAATTCAGTGCCCATGTCCACCCTGATCCATATTAACTTCTTCCCAGTCTCCCGCTCTGCTCTCGTATGGAATTCGGCAAAGGCACTAAGGGTTGTGTCGCCTGATTTCGAGGTGAGGAAATAACCAACGCAGTAGGATGACCCCCCATCATTGAAGGCCATCATATACTCTGCTCCCCCAACAGATCGAACACGCGCTGGTCCCCACAAGTCTATGTAGACTCGTTCTAGCACCTCCGTCTCAACTTCCACCACACCATCATATGGGCGTGTCGTCTGCTTCCCATAGATGCAGTCCTCACACTTCCCCTCAGCGTCAGTCTTTCCCGTGATGTCAAGACCGTCAACTAAACCCCTTTTAGCCATGTCCAAGATCGAGCAGACACCAACGTGCCCGAAACGTTGGTGCCATACCTCAAGGTCTGTAGGTTTGTGGAGGGATCGTGCTGTGAGTGCGTGGATGTTGGGGGGTTTATGTTCGATATGAAGGAGGTACATCCCATTGCTCCCTGCACCTTTCATCAATGTCCTCTTCTGACCGTTGTGGATATCGTAGAAGGTTACTCCCCCACCACCGAATAGTGCCCAAACGTTCGCCTCGTCAAGTTTCCCAATTGAGATGAGGTTTGCGATGAGATCAGGGGTGTGGACTGCATGTGTGAAGGTAATAGTGGTCTTTAACGACCCTGATATGATGGTTTTCGTCACTGCACCGTGCCCAATTATATGAAACTGGCCTCCCTTATTCGCAGGTTGGCCTTCGTCAGGCCGGGATAACTCATGGTAAGTGGAGAAGTCCAACCGATTGACAAAACAATGTTTGTTGGCGGCAGAGTCCGCATAAGTTGGTATGTCCCGCTCCTCAGGTGTTGTAGTGGCTGCTAATGCATGAGTGATGTTCTCCGCTCCCTGCCCATGTTCCCCTATGTCCGAGATGAGAGCGAGTGTGATTTCTGAGGTAGGTGAAGTGTCTGTGAGTGCAGCGGTAACTGACGATGTGTTTTGGTTGGTAGCAGTATTTTGGGTCGTTGATCCATGTGCTCCCCCACACTGTCCGAAACCAGCAGGGAATTGTCCCTCTTTCCCTCCACCTCACCAGTAGCAGTTGGCAATGGTATGTCCCTGACGTCCACAATTTGTGTTTGTACACTGAAGCTGGCTTCGTGGTCGTCTCGCATCAGTTTGCAGAGCTGTTACGACTGTAGCGGGGTTGGTGACAGACTTGGAACGGTTGATTCGGTTCCAGTGGATCGTCAAGTGGCTGATGACTTCCGCGGATGATTTTGCGTCATAGAGGGTCCCAACGATGCTGTCCCATGATTCAGGAAGTGACGACAGCATGATCATGCGGAAGTCAGTGTCCGTAATTTTTGCACCAGCATTGTTTTCAGTTGCCCACTTGGTTCGGAGGTTGGAGATGTGAGTAGGGAAGTCGTTTCCATCAGCAAAGGTGGTGTTACGAAGATTGCGCTGTGCAGTGACGGCGGCGAGGTCGGAGGAAATTTTGTATTGTGAAGTGAGTGACTTCCATGCTTCTGCAGCTGTTCCATCTAATTTAAGTCCGAGCCCGATTGCATTTTTGGTGTTGTAGAGGAGTAGCGCACGCGCCCAAGCATCACGCATTTCCCATTTGGCCCCAGAAGGGGTAGTGGAATACCATGGGGTAGGGTCATCCGGGAGTGGGATATTTGGTGTGGTCGGCGTGTAGTTCAGGGTGTTGGATTCCTGGTAGGGAGCGGGATTGGCAAAGGTTCCCTGTAGATATCCTAGAACACCACGACTGGTGGCCGCAATAATAATAAGCATCTCGAAAGCAGCGAAGTTTGTACCATCAAACTTTTCCGTGTCTGGAAAAATAGGGGTGTTTTGTTGGCTGACGACATATTTTGTGGGTGTGTAAAGTGGGCTTTACGAGTTGGATTTTGTGTAGTAAAGCAGGTAGGTGTCTGATAGTTCTTCTTGTTAGAACGCAATGGGGCCCATAACCTGTTAACGTACGAAGAACTCAGTCAGACACAGATGTGGTGACGACTGTATTGTCTTTAGCTACCTGTTAACGTATGAAGAACTAAGTACAGGTAGCGTCAGTTATAGTATGTGAATATAAGTAATAAAAGAAACTCACCTCAGTCAGACACGGATGTGGTGATGACTGAGGTGAGGAAAAATAAGGTTCTGGTACTTATACGAAAAACGGGTGGCTTGAGGTAAAGACTAGCAAATACCGGAAGTAAATGTAAGCGGTGGATAAAGAAATAGGAGATCGAGAAATGAGTAAACAGAGCATACGCGTAAACAAAGAGGTCACGAGGGGTCTCCTTCAACAGCACTTCATCTGCAGTCACCATCATCTTCCCCATTCGTCCTATGTCCTATTGCCTGTGTGCGGCTTCTGTGGCTAGCCCGGGCATTCTGAACATTGCAATTTCGTCAAAACGCCCCTTCCACAGCCATGCCTGACGCCTCAGTTGCATTGTGCTCCCACAGCGACCTTGCCGAGCTGAGGGGCCTTTTCCCCCACCGTTGTGAGTGTTCTCATCTGCTCCAGGGCTTTGAAGGGCTGGATTTCCTGCGAAGACTTGAGCCCGGGACTTGGCTTGGAGATTCAGCCTGGAGAAACCTGGAAATCTATAATTATAGGTTGATTATTTTCAAGCAGCTGCCTGGATCCACCCACCAGTCTCCACGTCTTGACGCATTGTCCATTGCCAATCGCCGAGCAGCGCTCTTGTGTGACGATGCTGCTGTTCGACGCTGCTCAGGCAAGATGAAATGACTGTCTCAAAACGTAAGCCTAGACAAGTTCAGTCTACAAAAACGGGGACACTTTCAAGACCTACTCCCTCATCTCCCCACTATGGGCATCAAAGATCTCTGGAAGGTAAGGCATATTCATGATGATGTGACTATGGTGGCTAACTAGGGAATCACAGTTGCTAGCACCAGTTGGGGAGCACATCTCCCTGCATCAGCTGGCCGTTGAGGATGGCTTCGTAAACAATATTGGGGGGGTAAGGGCATACCGGGTGGGCATTGATGCGAGGTATGCACCTGCATTGAGTTTTTTCATTTGGCTCACCATCTTCAGTGGTTGGGTATACTGCGCGCTCTACAGGCATGTGAAGCGTTCACTCTGAACTTCTCGCATAGCTGAAGCCAAGAGGGAAGGAGGAGGCAAGAATGGGTGGATCTGAGATCAACACCCATGAGTGAGCAATGAGCAGTTACAAGATACTCAGCTGGCCCAACATGATTATGCATACTGTAGGAAGTTGTGATATAGGATTGGAAGGGAATGCCCATG